GTGGCGCGGGGCGCGGCATTCGGGGGGGTGTCCGGCGGCGTGGCGCTCGGCAGGGGGGGGTCGGCGGGGCGGTGCTTTTTTTTGCTGCTTGGGGCAGCAAAAACGTTAGAGCCGGCCCTGCTTGCTTCAAAGTACTGACCTCACCCAGATTGTTCTAGCTTGTCAAAGCTGAGATCACCTGCACAAACTGATTAGTTTTTTTTTATAATTGTGTAGCAGCTGAAAAGGAGTTCTCACTCTCTGGTTTAAAAATGATTCCCCACGAGGTGGAACTGTTTCAACACAAATCATTTCTAATAAAACACTGTCTTGATTTGTAAATAAGTAGGTATTCTGTTCATTTGGCGTCACAGACATGACTGCTGGGAATCACAGGAACAGAGTGAGAAGAACCTGGACTTCAATATTGTGTGTTTCTTCTGGAGTCCTGCAGGGATCGTTTCTTATCAGTGATCTGAACGGAAACATAAAATCACTGATAAAGTTTGCAGATGACACAACGATGGGGGAGTGGTAAATAATGAAGAGGACAGGTCACTGATACATAATAATTGTGATCTCTTGGTAAGCTGGTCACAAACAATATTTCCTCTGTATTTGGCACTGGTGTGGACACTGCTTGAGTACTGTGTCCAGTTCTGGTGTCAACAATTCAAGAAGGATGTTGATAAATTGGAGAGGGGTCAGAGACAAACCACGGGCATGATTAAAAGATTAGAAAATATGCCTTATATTAATGGATTCAAAGAGCTCAGTTTATTCATTTTAACAAAGAGAAGGTTACGGGGTTACTTGCTCACAGACTGGAAGTACCTACATGGGGAGCAAATATTAAAATGGGCTGTTCAATCTAGGAGACAAAGTTATAACAAGATCCAGCGTTTGGAAGTTGAAGCCAGACAAATTCAGACTGGAAATAAGATGTAAATTTTTAATAGTGAAGGTAATTAACCATTAGAGCAACTTACTAAGGATCGTGGTGGATTCTCCATCACTGGCCATTTTAAAATCGAGACTGGATGTTTTTCTGAAATATATTCTAGTTCAAACAGTCGTTATTTGGGTGGAAGTTCTCTGGCCTGTTACACAGGAGGTCAGAGTAGATGATCACAGTGATCCCATTTGGCCTATGAATCTATGGATATTCCTGCAAAGGGCTTTCTTGGGAATCACTGCTGAACACAAAAGTGGGCAACAATAACGTTAAAGCAAACACATTTGGTGAGAAATGGCTACACTAATCCTAAAGCCAAAGGACCAAGTTAATCATGTGCGTAGATACCACCAAAATATTTTATGAGCTAGCTAATGTGCTTATGCACCATTCCCGTGTGCTGGATAGAGTAGGAACTGCTCCATGTATCATAACTTATACCTCTGCTTCTAACAGCAGTTCTCCTTAGCTCCCTTCTAGCCTGTGCTTCTGGAGCAGCAGGACCTGAACTCTATCCCTGCTACAGATGAGAAAGTTGGAGTGGCAGGGCTGGGTATTAACCCCCTGAAGTCAGAGGTGACCACAGATTTTTGTTAGAGTACTCTTGTCTAATTCAGCTCATAATATACCTGAGAAAATGCCCCTTGGGTGTGATTTGGACCTAAAGAAGTTAGCTGCAGTATGGCTACTTTGTGGAGATGCCCAAGTTAGGCACAATTTTCCTTCTTTGTTTTTAGTGGGCGAATCTTTTATTTGCAGCTGAATACTGTATTCTGATCTGCGTTGGCAGCAACTTTGGTGACAGCTACACAACTTCGGTAACAACCCTGACGTCTTTAAACTGACGTTCTTAGGGGAAAGAAGACAGAGGCTTCCACTCCTAGGCTTCCTGTTGCCAACATCTGAGAAGGCTCTTGTTACTGGTTTCATATCTCTGCCGTTTAGAAAAGAGACCTTTGTATTATATTTTTTAAGCGGGTGAAGTAATTTTTCCTACACTAGTGAGGAAATAACTGCAGTTGCACATTAGTGTTAAGGAGAAGGACCATGGGGAGACTTGGGTATCTTGTCAGTGTAATAACGGTCGGATTTATCATCAAAGGTAAGATCTTCAATCCTGCATTATTAATAATTAATTACTATTTTATTACCATAATGCCCCAAATGTGTTCAGTGCTGTAAAGACATTGTAAGAAGACAGTCCCTGCCATGAGGCGCTAACAATCTGTAAGACTAAACACAGACAAATAAATGGAGGGGGAAGGTGTATAGCCAGATAGATAGATAGGCAGGCAAAGCTCTGAGCGTTAGGGCTGGCACACATCTTGTTAGTTCCTTTTTAAGAAATACACCCTTATCTGTATTATATAGATTTGGTTTTGGAGATTGTTTTTCGCTGGGAGATGGACTCAATAAGATCTAATGGGCCTTTTCCATCTCTACTGTTTGTGCTTTCCATGAACATTAAGGTCACTCACAAAGTTTAAAGTGGGGGAGAGGGAAGACCATGTGGTGATATAGTTCAGTTTGGCAACTAAAACATGATCACTTTAAATACTCTGTGAGACAAACTCAAATACTGTGACCAAGAATAATTTAATTTTAGGCAAATAAGTCATACGATGTTTTAATCTGTTTTAATATTATATAGTGTGTAAAGTTTGTAGAGCTCACTGGAGAGTGCATACATATAACAAAGGGAAGCAATCCCCTTTTCCCCAAGTGTTTTTTTGGCTAATGCAGACTCACTTCTCTTCAGATGTAATCAGTAGGTTTGTGATGTGTTTTGTTGGTGTTAATGGAACTTTGGGCCACATTGTGCCCTAAGTTACACACTATTCCAATCAGAGGAATTGCACAGAGTGTGCGTTGGGTATGTTTTGCCCCTTTGTGTTATCCGTTCTTGTTCATGGCGCTAAACGTGGGACATGATTGCTGAACACACCCCAAAGGGTGGTGAAATTTTAACATTTAGCACCTGCTGAGTGCAGGTAAAAATTAAATCTTATTTTAAATTAATTAGATTAGATTAATATTTGTATCTTTGATTTGTGCCAAGTGTGTTTATATGTTTGAGTTTGAAGAGACATCTGCATTTTATTTCATCTGACTTATAGAATACGTATGTTTGACAGTCTCTAAGTACACATACAAAGATTAAAAACAAATAGTTCCTTAATGCCATATAAATAGATTTCCCCAACTCCAAAATATCTTGGCATGCTCCCTTCAGTCAACCCAGCCCTGGAAAAAAGTTTGAGTGGATCGCTGAGCCTTTAGCCAGAATGATGAAGGAGTTGGTCTTCAATGCGCCGATTGGGTAGCAAGTTCTAGAATCACTAAAGCCTACATTTTAAAACATGGCCAATGCATTTGGGTGACTCAATTTTGGGGTGCCTAGTTGCAGCCAACGTGGGCCTGATTTAGTATCTGCAGCTCCCATTAATTTCAGTTGGAAGTGTGGGTACTCGGCACTGCTAAAAATCAGGCCCCGGGAAGCTCAAACCAGACACTAAAAATCAGTGGCTACTTTTGAAAATGTTGGTCTTTATAACTAAATGGAACCAGGAACATAGGAATTGCCAGGCCTGATCTGAGCAGGAGCCTGGTTTGAGAAGCGGCCCAGATAGTCTTGTTATCCTCTCTCTGAGACTGGCCGGTTTCTTCCTATGTCCTGTCGTTATTCTCTGAAGCAGGAGGGTTTGTGGCACTTCTAAATTACATTTTTTCTTTTCCCCCCTCAGGTGTCGTCACACAAGACAAACCAGCTAAAGGTAAAAAACCCTACAGAGCTCATTTAAAGCCCTTTTTGGTCAGGGTTGGATGGAGGAGGCATTCTGCTCTTGAAAGTCACAGAGAGTGTCTATTTCACAGCCGTGGCAGCCAGAACTCTGCATCCCGTGTTTGTATTAGAGCTCATTGGGGAGGGAGGGGGACTTGGAGGGAGCACAGGTGGTCATTGTTTATGCCCTGATTGCTCTGGGGATAAACACAAGGCTTCAGTCTCTGGGGTGGTCAGTGTCGTACCTTTCACCTGTGCAGCATGCTCACTTCTGTAGTAATCATTTTGAATAGCAGGGCATCGATTCATGTCCCAAGGAAAGAAAGCACATTACAAGATTTCAGAGTAGCAGCCGTGTTAGTCTGTATCCGCAAAAAGAAGAAATTTGTTAGTCTCTAAGGTGCCACAAGTACTCCTGTTCTTCTTTTTGCACATTACAAGAGACATATATAATAAGGTAAGCCCTTTACGGTGACTTACTGGCTGGTATAGTGCCTGTTACAAGCCCAGCCTGCCTTATAGTAGGATAGACTGCACCCTGATTCACATTAGGCCCTATCCTGCCCCCAGTGAAGTTGATGGCATCACTCCTATTGGCTTCGCTGGAAGCAGGATTGGGCCCACGACTCTCAGAACTGCCTCCCTGAGGGGGGGGGGGGTACAGGGCAATACTAGGCAGCAGCTTAGAGCAGGAAAAGCAAATAACGGAAAAGAGCCAGTTCCTCACTCATGGGATATGAGGCCTCAGAATCCAGTCCAGCGTGTGAATTGTCACCAAGAGGGTTGATGGACAAATGGCTCTGAGTTCTCTCCAATGGGGAAACCAAGAACTGACAATTGGCCAAACTGGTACAACGACAAATGTAAAGGTCTCGCTTCTGATCCCTGATCACCCCAGTGCGGATCTGTAATAGCACCACTGAAGTCAGCAAAGTTACTCCAGGGCAAAACTGATGCAAGTGAAGTCAGAATCAGGCCCAACATTGTGGTAATCAGTGCAATTAACGGGGAAAAGCACTGGACTACAGAATGAAGCTGTTTGGGCCCGTTCTGCCCCTGTTGCCACGTGAAAGACTCATGAAGAGGAGAAAGAGACTATTAAGGCCCCGACCCTGCAAGAGCGCACTATGTTCACACAGGACCTCATTGACTTCAAACACTGTAAACCCAAAAACAGAGAGAAAATATCTTTTACCTTCTCTAACTGCAGTCATTTGAGGAGAATAAAGCTCCATAGAGAAGTGAGATTTTTGAGTTGAAGCTGTCCCTTTAACTGCATGTCTAGTTTGCAGTTACCTTTTGATATTGCTTTGTTAGTAGCAATTATTTATTTATTTATTTATTTATTGTTGTTATTATTCAATATTTGCTTTAATTGTTGGTGTAGTTCCTCAAAGCCTCTTTCTGAGCTCCTTTAAACATGAAATTATCATTATTCTCTTTAAGCATGGATCTCTGGGCACAGAAAAGGGAGCGAACAGAGTCCCCACCCCAGGCAGTTTAATATCCATTAAGCTATTGATTAATAATGATTTTAGCAATAAAATGTATTTCTCTCATAATAATTTAGAATATAATTGCAATCTTAATATAAGCGATTAATGATACATATATAAATGTAGGGACAGACCTCAAGCCAGCCTATCTTTGTGCAGTCAAGATTTTGCACCTCCAAATAATTATGGCTGCGTTTTTGAACTGTTGACAATTGAGTGTGCAACTAGCAGACACCGAACTACCTGATTTACAAACACAAACAGGTACAGGAATTAGACCCCTAGACTGGAGGTGACTGAAAAACGGGATGTGTGTGTGTGTTGGGGGTGGAGGGTGTAATCCAATTTCTCAGCTGTGTCTGTGTTGCCGAGGCTTTGCAGTATGAGCTGCATTGCTCTCATTGTCAGTGCTCAAACAACAACAATCCTAGTAACTTTATTTTGTGTTCTGAAGGCTGGGGAGTGACCCCCATGGGCTCGACCCTGCCCCCACCGGAAACACATTTTGTGAATTTTACACTGTTTTCATTGTAATCGGTTTTCAGTTTAATTTGCTCACCAGTTACAGAGCTGACCACAGAACTACCTTTTGCTATCCGGTTTGGCTGATCTCCCCACCTTTTTTACTTTAAAAACTTGTTAAAAAATTCCATCCGCCATCACTAATTATTAATAACCCGGAATCTGCAAACCCTTTCACTTACCATTCAGCCTGTGTATAATGTGCAGGATCAGGGCCTCATATCCACGCCCAGAATTTACTGCAGGTCAAAGGATGCTGGGCCCAATTATTTTGTGCTTGAGTGAAAATCTCCCTGGTAAAATGTCAGTTGCAATATTCTATTAATATAATAAGTGCTGTATAATGATATTAGATACTGCTAATTAAGGACCCGATCCTACAAACACTTCTTATGGATGTACAGCTTACTCCAACCATCACTAGCTCCAGAGGGGCGAATAGGACTGCTCCCTCCCAGCAGTAGGCACTGTCCCAGGAGTTGTGTTGGCAGAATCAGGCCCAGCGTTGTTATTTATTGCTAATAATTGGCACAATATAACAACATGATTAATTATTAATATAATCAATGGTTTTATATATCTATATCTATCTAGCTATAAACTGAATTGTATAACTGAATATTATACCTATCACTGTATTATCAGGTATCAGAGGGGTAGCCGTGTTAGTCTGAATCTGTAAAAAGCAACAGAGGGTTCTGTGGCACCTTTGAGACTAACAGAAGTATTGGGAGCATAAGCTTTCGTGGGTAAGAACCTCACTTCTTCAGATGCAAGAAGTGAGGTTCTTACCCACGAAAGCTTGCATCTGAAGAAGTGAGGTTCTTACCCACGAAAGCTTATGTTCCCAATACTTCTGTTAGTCTTAAAGGTGCCACAGGACCCTCTGTTGCTTGTATTATCAGGGATATTTTCTCAGTGAGAACACCTTTATTCAGGGGTTTCTATGAGACGCCATCTCGGTCTCCTTTCTAATGGCTCCTTTCTAAGTGCCTGTGTAAGAGACCTGAGTTCTGAACCTCAGTTACTGTATGCATATGCATCCGAAGAAGTGGGCTGTAGTCCATGAAAGCTTATGCTCTAATAAATTTGTTAGTCTCTAAGGTGCCACAAGTCCTCCTGTTCTTCTTTTTTCAGTTACTGATGACAGCTCAGCCCCTGGGCTGCTTTGTACCTGTCACCTCCCAGCCTTCGTTTTTGTTTTACAGCAGCCGTAAAGGTGGAGATCCGTGGCCGTGACGTGGTCCTGAAGTGCGGGGAGTTTCAAAGCCCCCAGCCTGACATAAACTGGCAGAGAGATGGAATTACTTTAGGGAACAACAACTCAGAGTTGAACTTGGGCGCAGAAGCGGACGACCCAAGAGGAGTTTATAAGTGCAAAAATGATATCATTCCTGTACAGGTGTATTTCCGAAGTACGTTCACCAGTCAGTTTGCCTCTGATCTATAAAACTAGAGCTGGCTGGAATTTTTAATTCCAAACTTATTTTTTTGATGAAAAATGGCCTTGTTCTGGAAATTAAAGTTTTTAAAATGTTCTGTGAGACACACCTGCCATTTCTCCATTGGCTTTCTGTAAAGCTGCAGCAGTAGCAGATGTGTGTGTTTCTCAGTCCCCAAATTTCCCCCCAGGCTGTGTGTCTTGTAAGGAACCATCCTGCATTGGCCCAGTAGGGGAGGGAGGAGACTGGATGATCTGCTTGGGCTCTTCCAGCTCTGAACTCTAACTTTCAGTGCTCAGCCAGAAATCTCAGCACTTCTCAGACTGGGACTGGTGGTGGCATGGGGGCCCCAGTGTTCAAAACTGGCCCCCGGGCAGCAGGCACAAAGATGTGCACTTGTGCCTGGGCAGGTGCCTGTTTGCATGGGTGGTTCCTGGATCGCCAGGCACACATGCATGATTGCAGCTCATTCTGGACTGGCCCTGTGGCTCAGGAGGAGCTAGCGCTCTGCCCTGACACACCAGAGACCCTGCTCCCTGCCCTATCCCAACTTTGCACTCCCACCGCTGGCTGCTCTGAGCAGGAACCCTGGGCTGGGTGCGCCGAGCCCTGCCTTGGTCAGGGAATGGGAATTGCTGAGCAGTGACTGTTCTGTTTGGTCAGCGTTGCGTTGGTAGGCTCCCTCGGGGGTCCTGTCCAGTCGCCTTTGGCTGAGAGGGGCCTTAGAGGTGGGAGAGCAGAGGAATGTGTGTGTGTTAGAGAGGTTATATTTCTAACTGGGGGGCCTTGTAGGGGGAACAGAGAAATCCTCTGGGGCTCTCCTGCTGGCTTGCTCCCTGTGCCGCTGAGCTGGGTGTGTAGGAGGTGGGTGGGTGTGGAGGGTTGTGCCCCGTTCTCAGTACTCTGTGTTGTGTCTGTGGCTTTGCAGTGTGCCAAAACTGCATCGAGCTGGATGCAGCCACCATCTCGGGGATCGTGGTAGCTGATGTCATCGCCACGGTCTTCCTGGCAATCGCCGTGTACTGCATCACCGGCCAAGACAGTGGCCGTCGCTTACGAGGTGAGACGGGGAGGCCCCTCTGTCCAGCTCGGGGGAGGGGTGTCTCTGCTGCCCAGTGCAGGGACAGGGAATGTCTGGTTGGACAGGACTCGCTGTGCAGTATCCCTGGGGTCTTTCCATCACACTCACCCACATGATGCTGGTTTGGTGCCTGGAGCCCCTACATGCACGTCTCAAGGACTGCATGTCAGCCCAGGGGGAGGGAGTCTGAGGGTGTCTGCATATGTGATTGCGTGTCTGCATGTTGCTGTGGGAAACTGTCATCTGTGAGTGTGGGTATCTGCCTGAGCAAGGGGGTAGCAGGAGGAGACACTGTATTTTGCAGGACACCCACCTCTGGGCTGATCCTCTGTAACTTCCTCACAAATTCCCATAACTTTACAAACTGTATAGTCAGCACGAGGGAACACAGCCATATCTGGAGTGAAGGGCAGCAGCCAGCACAGAGTACAGTTGGGGAGAGGTGAAATTTTAGGCAGAGACATCAGGGTAAATCTCGAGGGAATGCCTACGTTTGGCTTTTGCGCAAATAGTTTCCCACCTTTGCTACTGCTAGCTTAGCTCTCCCAATAGTTGGGACAGTGGGAGCCCTAGTGTAGATAGGGCTCCTGTAGCTCTCAGCATTTTAAGCACCATGTTATTGACCCAGTGACACCAGTAGATGTTGATTCCTTTTTGACAACAGCGCCCCCACTGGCGGGGCTGAACCAGTGGCAGCAATAAGTGAAATTTTAGCAGAACAGGCCTAGTGTGAACAAAGCTCTATGCTTAGCAAAAGCAACATGTGTTCCCAGCTGTCCGTGGAGAGCAGAGAGGGGCCCTGGGCCCGCTGCCCTGCACCTGGTGTCGCTGTTACCACCCATGCACAGGAAGTGTGGAGTGGGTGTGAAATGCTAGTGAGTCAGACTGGTGGCGTTGGACCCAGTGCTGTGCAGGTGTAAGTGGTGGTACAAGGTGCAGAGTGGGGGAGAGAGAATCACCACTTGGGGTCATTTGAAAATGCTGCCCTCCTGCCGAGCTTCCCACTGACCTTTGCTTGATTTATTTTAGCTTCTGACCGACAGAACCTGATCGCCAATGAGCAGCTCTACCAGGTGAGTGACGAGTGGTCACTGGGCCAGCCTTTCACATCACTTAGTGCTCGGAAATCTGGACTGGTGCAGATCGCTCAGGGCCTGGAGAGGCTCCTGGCCTTGCTAGTGATGTAGATCTGTACAGAGCAGGTGTTGAACGCTCCCACCAGGGAGAATGGAAGTGTGGGGGGTCTGACTTGGTCATGCTGCACCCCCACTTTGCCCGGTGTAAGGATCATCCTGGAGCAGCCGGCCCCAGTGCACACCCTGCAGCTGGGACGCCCTCTGGCTGTGCCCCTTCCCCCCTCCGGCCCTGCGGCTGGAACAGGGTGCCAGGGGCGTTGGAACAGTTTGTACAGTGGGGGGGCTGAGAGCCATTGAACCAGACTGTAAACCCTGTGTGTGAGGGAAACCCCGCCAAGCCGGGGGTGCTGCTGCACCCCTCCTTCCAGCACCCCCGCAGAGTGCTGGTTGCTTGGGGATTTCCCCGGTACCCGGGGAGTGCCTTGCTGGCTGCTTAAGCCACAGTGACAACCTCCTGAGGGTTGAGCCCCAGGTGCCCCTCCCTCCCTCTCACACTTTCAGGCTGAGATTAAATACCTGCCTTCTCCCTGAAGTAGGCTGATCTGTGCAGAGCGCCTGCAGTAGTGGATGCAGGAGGGCAGGAAGGGCTAGAGCAGCAGCACGCTCCCAAGTACCTGTCTAGGAGCATCGCAGACACACCCAGGCACAGGCTGCCCCCAGACAGACCCAGATGTGCACAGGCTGATTCATTTGCCTGTATAATTTTTTTTTGCTCCCCCCCAAACCCAAAACTGGTGCCAACTACTTTGCCCCAGCACTGCAGGAGAGGGCAGGGAAAGGCCAGCATCAGTAAGATGAACTAGCATATGGAGCCGACCAGTAATGGTGGGAAATGAGCACTGGCTGGCCTCCTCCTCCCAGCTGGTTATACATAACTGTGCTCATTGGAAGGTCCTGCTCACTGGGAACTCAGTGGCTGGGTTGTGATATGTGGGTGCAGGCAACATCTCCTCTGTTTTGAGGCTGCCTGTTTCATACTGAAGCTTTGAATGCAGAGGATATGGGAGGTGCTGTCTGTGCCCATTTATGCTATCAGAACCCCACGCTCCCAGCTCCTGAGGTCAAGTACCACAGTGGTGGGTGCAGTGTATGACCCTGAATAGCAGAGAAACACTTTATAAAGCAGCCTGACCTTCTCCTTCCCTCCTAGCCCCTTGGTGAGCGGGACAATGAGCAGTACAGCCGCCTAGGAGTCACCAGGACCCGCAAATGAGAGTGGAGAGCACCTGGGGGCTAAAAACTGTGACCCTTGGCCCTTCATCCTCTCTCTTTTCCACATGGGAACCAACAATATTGGGGAATCCTGCTGCTTTTGAAGCAGCCCTCAAAGCCTTCACTCTGCAGCTTGGTGGCCAGAAACCATGGTGATGGACATCTCACTAATGTGTCTAAGAAATCGATGATCTCTGCTCGCACGTGATCCTGGGCCCTGCTTGTCTCAAATCCCTCTGGCTCCCTGCAGTGCCAAGGGAGCTCGTAGAGCTCTCTGCTCTTTGTGATGATTTGCTTTGGCAATAAAGAGGCTTTGCCCGGGCTGGTGAGAGGAGCAGAATCCTACCTAGCTGTCCTCATTCCAAGGTCGCCATGGCAGGCAGGCCTGCAGCTGATGGAGGACCCCATGTGATCAGTAATGGGCCCTTCCCGAGTGCAACAAGCCAAACTGGTGGGGAGCTTCTGCCGGGCCCTGAGCCGCCCCTGCTGGGTGTGGAGACTGGCTGTGCTGAGCTAGCGGTTGGTTGTTTTTAACATTGCGTGGGAGAAAAACACTGAGACCGGGGAGTGGGGGCAGGGGAGAGACACCCAGCAGCTATAAACTGCCTGTGAGTGCCTGTGGCAGGAAGGGTGGCGTTGTGGCTCATCCTGCAGCGTCTTCCATCAGAGGGCTGCGAAGTGCAGGACAGCCCCTCCGCCCCCTGTGATCTGGCTGGGGCTGGGGAGAGGAGTTTGTACCAAAATAGGTTTGGTTTTACATGTGCAGGTTTCTGCTTCCGACTGAAGCCGCCAAGGCCCCGACGGCCAGTCCCTTCCCCCAGCGCACACCCAGGCCGCGAGCCGGCCTGATCGCGTGGTGGCAAACCATCAGCACTAAACCTGGAGATGCTTTGAGCTGGGTGTGCTGCTGCTGCTGGAGAGGGGCTGACGCAAGCTCTCCCCAAGATCAGATACGGCTCTGCTGTGACAGAGGAGGAAATGGAAACAGCAAAAGCTCAGAGCAAAACAACCTGCAGAGGAGGTGATCGCGCACCAGGGGGGCAGGGCAGAGCACTCTCCATCAGCAGGCGGGGATGATGGTGCCAAGCGAGCCAAGTCTGCTCAGCTCCTCTCCACCTTAGGGGGCTCTGGGAACGCCGCTGGTCAGCCTGCTCCTCCCATGGCCCACAGAGGGTAACTCCTAGCCGGGCCCTTCTGTTTCTGTGACTAGAGGGGGCACTGCTAAAGGGACAAGCCGAAAGCAGACAAGCTCTTAGGGTGTGGGGCTGCCCCACTCCAACCCTGCCTTTCCGGGGGTGATTACGAGTGGCAGCCCAGTTGTCAGTCTGGGATGGAGCCCAGCTCTGCCCTCTGTGACCCTAAATAATAGTGCCATGCTTCAGGTGGGCAAGCGTTGTAAGCCCCATTCTACTGATGGGGAAACTGAGGGGTAGAGAGGGGCAGGGCCTCCACCAAGGCCACGTGGTGTGTCAGAGCAGAAGCTGGGTGTTTGCCTCCCCCGCGTCAATCACCGGGAAATCCCTGCCCACGGCCCCGTCTGGTTGAGCAGAGGCCTGTTTCCTGCACTCTGGCCTGACGCTCTTTGTGGGCTGTGGTGAAGGGGTGGAATTGTCTGGGGTTTGTCTGGTCAGCGAGCGGAGGTGAATGATGGGCTGGTCAGTGCAGCATGAACCCACCGCAGCGCTTCCTCAGAGCAGGAGACAAGCAGGGCTGGCCTCAGCCCAGTACGAATGAGTCCAAGGTCAGTGTCCTGTGTGCACATCGTTAGATCCACCCCCTGGCTGGTTTGTATCCTCACCCAGCACCATCTGGGGACCCGCTGTGGCTGGCAGTCAGGTCCCTGAGCAACGTGCCCCCTTAAGAGCTCTCCTGCCGGGTCGGAGCCTTGGGGATTTCTCTAGGATCCCAGCAGGGATGTCTGCCTGCCTGGAGCAGTTGTTTAACCCCTTGGTTGCTTGTTCTTGGGGAAAGTTCATTGCTCTTGTGACACGATGACAGACTTCTGGCCAAAGGGTTGAGAGCCTGAGGCTAGAGAACAAAAGGTACCGAGTGATGGAGCAAAAAGCAGCTGGGTCCTACTGTACATGTTGGCCTTTGGAAAGCAGCCTGGAACATACAGGCCTCACGTTAGCAGGGCCTCTTTAACCATCAGGGCACCCAGTTCCTGACCCACTCGCCACACCTGCAGCGTGGAAAGGACAGGAGCAGGGGAGGGAATCACGCTGCCCGTTCGGGGAAATACTAAGGGATCATAAGTGCCTTTCTCCTCCTTCCCAAAAGCACTCAATGGGGTGTGAAGCAGGGATAGGCAGATTCCTTGGCCCTCCTAGGGAAGTCTGGGAGGCCAGTGTCTCAGGATCTGATGGGAGGGCTCCTTAATGTCCCAGAGGTTAGTTTCCTGCATGCCCGTAGAACGCAGCGTTTGGATTGACAAACATGCCTCCGCCATGCGATGCATTAGATGTAACCTATGAAGCCTTTTCCACCTCTCCTGTCGGCTACAGCTACTGGAACACTTTGTTGGCCAGCAACAGCTTTGACTGCCCCAGTTCTCTGGGGTCCTCTCCATCCAAAGCCCCCCCCCCCTTCTCCCCGCTCTTGAATAAAACCATCCGTTTACAGGTTATTACAGTTCTCAGAGAATGGGTGGCACGTAACAGATGGGAGCAGCAAGCAGTTAAAAACCTCAGAAACCAGGTCACCCTCCCCATGCGGGTCGCAGACACCTGTGGGTCGTGGTCTCCTCCTGGCTTTCTAAGAATTTGGGTGACACATTTTAGTGAGCACCAGAGAGCTGCTAGCTGTGTTAACATGGAGGAAATGCCCCTGTATGAATTCGGCTGTTCTAGGGTCATATAGTGGATCGTGTAATTACCTGGCACCACACAATAATAGGTGGGTAATTATAGGGAGACACTAGAGCTAGTGTAGGAGACAGACATGAGACCAAAATGCCAGGAGTGAAGTGCTATTACTGTGGGGTAAGTAGATGCGATTTACTAATAAGTGGCAGGATTCAAATGTTATTGGTCTCTAAGTTGGGGGCCACATTCAGCTGCCCCACTTGTGCCAGAGAAGGAGCAACCATAGGTCAGGCAAAAATCACAGCTCTTGAGACCGTCCCATGCTTTGGGAAGAGACTTCGGTCACCCATTGCAGACCTGCTCTGTAACTCCATCCAGGAGTGAGCCTGGTACTGCAGGGCATAGAGAAACCGTGCAAATCTGAAAGGGTCAGCTCCCTTATTTGCCTCTTTCTGGAACTGGTTTTCTCTGTGCAATTCTAGCCATAGGAGGCATGATACTGATGATGTTTGTAGGCACAAGTGCAGCCAAGCGAGGCGACAGGGACGTGTAGGTTTGTAGATAGCTGTGTGGAGACACTGCAGTGAGCTGACAAGTGGGGAAGATGATGGTTACTCATGCCAGCAGCCCTGAGGAAAGCAGTTTGATCATGTGGGTGTGGCTGGGAGCAGGATCTGACCCACTGTACATCCAGAGCAGCTGTTCCTGTCTGCACTGTGAAATGAATCACATCCCTGGTCTGACCCCAGCCATGGCAATGCAGCTGCACCAGGGGGCTGAGGTCAATAACTTCACTATTGTATTGACTTCAGTCGAGTGACACCCATTTGTACCAGCAGTGAACCTGGCCCTGGGGGTTTCAGGGCTGTGTGGGGGTGGTTCTGTTTGGCTCTTGCTTGCAAACTCTCTCCTCTCGACATGTAGGGCTTGCAAGGTAAACCCAGCTGCGCCTGCCTCTGTAACCACATCCTCCAGGCCAAGCACACTGATCCGAGGCTCGAAGGTGGCTGGGTGCTCACTCCTTGCTGTGCAGAGACACCAGGGCTAAACCACAGCCCACCCCAGTTACTGCTGCTTCCTCTCCGGAGCGATGTCTCCCCTCTGAGCAATAGCCCAGGGCTGAGCAGAGTCAGTTTTCTAAGCCAGACACTGGTGTCTGCTCCCAGCTGCCCATGTGGCTCTCAGGAAAAGGAAACAAGTCAATCCCATTGCCCACGTTTGTTACTGTCCTGCCACCTTCATGAAACTGGATAATTTTAACTCAAGTGGCTTTTGAAAATTGTTTGTTAAATTGAGTGTAAGTGACCACAACCTTCTTATCGTGCCCCAGGCCTGACCTGCAGCCCCCAGCTATTCCAGCCCTACCCCCAGCTCTGCTGATGACATCCCTCCCCAGCCTGACCATTGCACTCCACTGTTTGCTGTCTGCCCCTCACCCCACTGCCTAGCCCTGGGCCCCTTTGTACACTGCTGCCAGTGCACCTCAGTGGTGACCCCAGCAGCTTTTGCAGTCCTGGGTCTTTCCTGCGCAGAGTCCTCCGAGTAACGGTTGTGTTGAGAAAGAATGAACTGGAAACACCCTCCAATGCGGATCCAGGGGCAGAGCCCTCCCCGTTTATTGGCTGCATAATACACTTTTAGAAATACTTGCATCATAAACGTTCAAACAGGCCTTTCTCAATACAGACAAATTCACCATCATGGTAACAGACACCATAGAGCCTGGACACAGCCTGAGAGCCAGAGATGGAACAGGAGAGGGAGGGTACAGCAAGGAAGAGGGTTGGAGCGAGATGAGCCAGATGAGACTCACTCAGAGCATGGGGTTTGTACAGCCCTTATGGGAAAGTCCTCGCACAGTTACTAGAAAACGCTCCTATTTCTAGATGTGGTTTTGGACCACACTCTAGAACTGAAACAGGAACGGGGGTCCCTGCTATAGAATTCCACAGGCTGAGTACAAAGAAAAACCTATGGAAATGGTCACATTCTGTCTGCAGTTCTCTATGGTTTGGGCTAATTTCTACACAGCCCTATGGGTTTTGCTGCTCTTAAATTCTACAGGACTTCTCCAGAGGGAAAATGTCCTGTGGTTAAGGCACTGGGGGTCAGGAGCCCCATCTGAAAAATGGGGCCAGTCCCCTCTCACGCATCTCATCCCCCTGAGACAGTGATGTCTCTCGGGAGGGACTACGTTCCTCGGCAGAACCCAGCCCGGTGGGGCTTGGATCTTGACCGGGGCTTCCAAGTGCTACTGTAATTTAATAATAAGCGTTAAAGACTCAATCAGCCACTTAAGCGCCCTTCTGGGGGGCTCACAGATGACCCTTTGTTACAAGGTCTAGAGGAGGCTTGGGGGAGAAGGGGCACGTGCTGAAGAGTCCACACGCCCAGCCTTCTATTTAGGCCCCATACATGGAACCTTTCTGAGAGAACCACCGGGTCCTCCAGCAAAACCAGGCGGCTCCAGATGTCCATTGCTGATATTTAAATCCCCTCCTTCCAGGCCGACTTTAT